CCCCAAAACCCCAAAACCCCAAAACCCCACTAGCAGTCTATTAATTCAAAAATTTATGATTTATTAAAATTATGTATTTAATATTTGATAATGTAGATTTATAGCTAAGCTTGAGAGTTTCCTTGGCATTAATTGGTAATTATTAAAGAATTCATATTTCATAATGAAATTAGGTAATTACTCTCATTGCTGATTTTATAGGTTGGTTCTTTTGCTAATTTTAAATGAGTCTTGATTTCTCTGTCTCTTTGCTTACAAAGATTCATCTCTTGTGCTTGTGCTGGCATTAGAGCTACTATCACTTTGCTACTCTACTTATATGTCTATTCCTACAAGTTGACAGAATATCTTGAAATTCACTCGTTTATATTTTTACTATGGTTAATTATTTTCATAGTTTGCTTAACTTATTCTATCGGATTAACCTAACTATTCCTGATCATTTTTGCTGTTATCTTTGTCACTATCCTCCTCGTCATAATCTTCGATTCCTGAATCTCTTAGTATCTTATCTATTTAGCCTTCAGATACTAGTTTCTAATCCCTTCTCAAGAACGATTCCTTTAGACTTTTAAAAGTAAGGTAAGAGATTTCCTCTGAATCCAAATATTTAAATACTCTCATCAATTTTCTTGAGTTGATTTGCTTTCTGTCTAGACATGCATATTAGAATAGTGTCCATGTGATCTCATTCTTGCCCTCATCCATTATCCTATCGAATATGTCTCTTATCTCCTCATCAGATATGTCCTTCCTTAATTTTTTGATAGCGTTTGAAAATTCTTCGAGACTCAGAGTGCCAGAGTGATCTTCATCAAAACTAGCAAAAGCATTTCTGATGTGAATGATCTCCTTATTGTCTAGTAGCGAACAGAATATCTCAAGGATGTGCTTTTGGAATTCATTGTATTTCTTGCATCTTCTCATTGTTTCAATCAGTTGTAGGTCGATCTTCTCTTGCTATGTATGTTTCTTAATCCAAGAATGCTTTAACGCATCAAGAGGCTTTATTCTATATTCCCTCTTAAGCTATAAACACTGGGAAATAAAAGACTTGGCTTCAGTTGATATGTGCGACCAAGCATCCTCATCAAATTGATAGTCACAAAATTTAATTTGCTTGAAGAGCTTTGCATCGGTGCTTGCATTGAAAGGTGGGTAACCTGCAAGAAGACTATAGGTTATTACCCCGATAGACCACATATCGCATGATTAATCATAGATCCCATCAATCACTTCAGGCGCCATATAGTAGGGAGTTCCCGTTCTTGACTGCATTGTTGAAAATGTCGAGTCGAAGTATTAGGCAAGCCCGAAGTCAATGACCTTTATATGTGGATTTTTAGTAATATACGGATCAACTACCATTATATTTTCTAATTTCAAATCACGATGGCAGATGCCATTATCGTGGAGATGTTTAATAGCACTTAATATTTATTTAACAATCTTAGCTACGAGTTACTCATTGCCCTTGACATCTTCCACATGCATGAACATATCTCCACCCTCGCAGAGCTAGGTAACAAAGTTGAAGTGCTGTTCATCCATAAAGATTTCATGGAAGTTGATGATGTTTGGATGATCAACTCTCGTGAGAATGTCGAGTTCTCTTTCGAGGAGCTAAATGTCAGAGTTAATCATATCTCGATTAATTTTCTTGCAGGCGAATTTCTTCCTTGGATAAGAGATTTTCTCTATCATGAAGACTTCACCGTATCTACCTGTACCCAAGTCTTTGCCTACATCGTAGACTTCATCGATATTTTGATACCAGATTCTTTATCTAAGTTGTTCGTCTTGCATGTTCATATAGTTTTACCGATTCCTTACAAAGGTACTGGAGTTTCTGTTTAAAGTCTGTGGATATAAGTCGTCTGATGACATATAAAGGTTCTACAGATTTCCATTGTACATCTTGTTAATTTCATCCATTTGTAAATTCTTTTTCCCAATCGTACTTATTTATCGCTTCATTTTGCCTCTTTCCATATCATCCATATAGAAAGGTGTAATAGACTTATCACCCGTACAGCATTTATCAAGTTATAGTCCCATTATAGTTTATTTAAATTAATAATTCACTTTGTAGTCACTCCCAATTTTATATTTATTAAGTCCTTTATTTTGCCTTAAATATGTATCCATGGGGTTTTGGGGTTTTGGGGTTTTGGGG